GAGCATCGGACGTGTTCATGACAATTCGCAAACTGTACGGCATTCCATAAACAACGACTTTGTTCAGCGCTTGCTCGTCGCCATCGACAATTTCCATACGGAACGAAACCTCATTGGAGTTGTTCTCATTGGAACGACTGCAACAATCGCTCAATAACTTATCGCGAATTATGCAAACAAATTTCGTTGCTAGAGAAAATGAAAGTCAGTCTTTGAACTTGCTTTGAGTTAATATTGAGATGGAATCGTTTAATATCAAGTGAAATTTGATCACGCACACTCGAGACAGATGTTGAGATGCGTTGTGTTGCGCTATGGTGTCACTCTTATTCGTTACATCGATCTTGCCACCTGCACAAATCAAATCGAATATTCGATCTTGTTGTAATATCAGTACCGGATGCTCGTTCACTTCCATTTGGATCGAATATAGATCGTTCTTCTGAAAACCAAAATTCAGTGTTTTAAATCAGTATTTGGAGCTAAAATTCGTAATCTTTTTGAGCGGAATTACAGCGTAGACAAACCAATATCATAATGATACGTTGCTCTGATTTGACTGCGATAAACTTTTCAACAAAACTGAAATATTCCGAGATAAGCGGAAAGATCAATGGTGTCATACTTTATCATACTTGACATTGCATTCTTGAGTGTTCGTGAAGGCAATATAATAATGTAATTGTTTTCTTCCAGTTCCATTTATACGACAACTCTGATACCTATCCATGGCGTGAAGTGAACCGAAGAACGGTTGCGATGTTGTCAGTGTCAGATCGAAACCACCCTCTTCGGAACAAAACCATGTCACTGCAATGAAAATTATTCGAATTTGAGGATAACAACAAGTCAAAGTGATCACTTTCCAGCAAGTTGCATAATGCAATGCGAAATTGGATTCGAAACGATGCATCGATGAAAATCGAGTCTCGAAAGGACAACTTCCTCGAGAATGTCTTCAGCAAAGAGGCGGAATAAAGCATTGTACTTACCTGTCGGTTGGAATTCGTCGGTGATTGCTGCAGCGATCAACTGAAACCTTTATGCATTAATTGGATTCATGCAATTGGTCGATTAAAATGCAAAATTATTCGCATTCGCCTACAAACAATGCAATTACCTGA